AATCACAATCGCTTATTCTTCTCGGATTCGACTGTAATTGGTCAATTTCTTATGGCTTAAGGCTTAAAACACCTATTGTAGATCCGGACTTATGCGAGAAACGGTACGCACCCTAGGTTCAATATATGACATCCGATGTGTTGTAATTATTCAAATTTCCAGTAGATGGCAGATGTTTCCAATCAGCTGTTCATGGCAATTTTAAAACGATATGCATGTGAATATGTATGTATGTACATATAATTACGTACACATGCATATTAATTAGTGAATGTATAATATAATAGTATTATCAATATTAACCCTTACCGTACTAATATGGGTAATTAGTGACCAAGCGATTCCTGTTCGTGCAAGTTTCTTTGAGTCTTTCGGTAATTATAAATTATACTACATTTTATTTATTTTCCAAAATGAAAAGTCAATATTTATTCTAGAAAGTTGGAAGTATGTTGGTGAATTTTTAGAGATTTTTTGAATTATTTTGAAGAGGTGAAAAAACGAAGAGATTCTAGTGACCCTGGTTGATATAGATTGGGCACCAAATTGTAGATAATACAGTAAAGCGGGGAGCACAGACTCTTGCATAACGCATAACACGTAATGCATAAGAATATGTACCAATCGAAGTTCTCCGTTTCTTTTCCTTCCATGTAATAGAGAACTCTGGTTGGTTCAATTTCTTATGCCTCATGTGTCATGCGTTAAGCAAGAATCTGTGCTCCCCGCTTAAGGGTTAATATCTGCTACGCACTATGTCAACAAAATAACAACAGAATTAGATATATATAATACTGTTGATAGACTGCTAAAAAAAACATAACAGAATCTGCAAGCGTCAGATAATGTGAGGATTTGCTCAGTTTCTGCCAACAATTTTCCTTCACATTATATCAACAGGCGATGTTAACAGAACAGAAGCCTAATGCAGACGCAGTTAATGACAGACTGCCGTCATTTTCTACTCGAACCTCCTGACAGTCTGCCAGAAGACTGCAGACATTTTGCTATCTAGGAAAGTAAATGATTTTAGTCAAATAATTATTAGCGTTTTATAGAATATAAGATTATAAGACTACAAAATGGCAATAAAAAGAGTTTTGGTATTTGCAACTTCATTTCATTCATATACTTACACAAAAAAATGATGTGACCTCGGAAAATGAAATTTCAAGAATGTCGGGGCTAAGTGCGGGCACCACATTTTTTCAATACTATATGAAATAAAAACACGTCATTATAATCAAAAAATAAAAAATTGTATTAAATTTTATTTCGAATCTTTAATTTGAATCTTCTGATTCCATATCAGACAAACAGTATTTACAAACAAAATTGTTATCAATCGTGCATACGCATTTGTCATGTGCAACACGCTTGCATATGAGACACTTTTTGTTTTTGAACATAGATTAAATGTTTTCAGAACACACATCAAATGTTGCAGTCATCGTCGAAATCGGACGTAGAATCCTTGGCCTTTTTCGGCCAAGAAGAGTGCGGCTTACGTGTTCTTCCAGTACTCGTCGATGATTGCGGATCAGGGTTTGTCGGTAGTACCATTTTCTTGGGTCGACCTCTCTTTTTTTGAAGCATCTGTTGTATTTTTTGTGGCTTTTTTGATCTTAGCTGTTTCTTGCTCCGCTGCCAGTTCTACCATTTCAGATGAATTCGTGAGCATGGCACATCTACGTTTACGACCTCGACGCGTTTGCTTTCTCAACTCTGCTTTCAGGTGAGGACGAATACTTTGAAGTGTTTCGCTCAAATTGCTAACAGAGTTACTTGCTATCAAACTTCCGTCTTCTTCAGTCACCATCCATGAAGCCATTGGTTCATTGTCCAGCGCCTGAAGTTCAGTCGGTGATGGTGGTAATGGAACTGCAGCTTCAATCTGTTCATGTTGTGCTGACGAAATAGATGGGCGATCACTGCTTGATAAAAATTCATACTCCTGAAAAAATGATGAAATGCCGGTGCATTCGAATCCCGACATATCTCACTGGGTTATGGTAAGTGGTAGTGCCTTACTAACAATTTTGGGAATATCATAAATTGTCATTGAACGTCCAGGATTGGATGTAATCCAAATGTCACACTCCGCGTTCACGGATTTCTTTAATTGGCCATAGACAGTGCGATCGAGTGGCTGAAACTTATGTAAGCAGTGTGGTGGAAGCGACAAAACAATTATACTGTTGGATTTGCAAAAATCTAGTCCCTTGATTGATAAGTGGGACTCGTGATTGTTTAACACAAGCAGAACGGGGTGGTCGACAGAAGCATGAACGTGGGATTGGAAGAACATCAAAAATTCGAAAAAATGTTCCGCGTTCATACAACCGCTTGGATTTGCAGCGCCTGCGTAGCCGGGTGGTCCACCGTTGAGAAAGTGATTCTTAAAATGTTTTCTTGGAAAAATAAAAAAAGGTGGAAGAGAATTTCCTATTGCTGAAATTGTCATTACCAAAGTCACGAGAGTACGCCTCGTTCAGAAGAAGTTATGCGCCCAACTTGTTTACTACCACATCGAGCAATAACTCGATTGGGTGTTTGCACTGTTGTGATTTCGGTTTCGTCCATATTCCAAATATTTTGACACGAAAAATGGAATTTATCCATTACTTTTTTCAATAGTGAAAAAAAATTTTTGACATTAGTTGGATTGAAATTAGTGGCATGCGCTAAACTTGTCGCTTTCGGTTTTTGTACAGCCAAGTTCTGATGCCGTTTGAGAAAGCCACTTAACCAATCTTCACCAACCATACGGGTGGCCTCCTAAGACGATGGCACAGTTAATTTTAATTTCTTAGCAATCATATGCTAAACCTCGCACTTTTTTGTTGAAAAACCAAAGTACATGTTATTGCAGTATTCTAAATATTCTACTAAAGTCGTTTCTGCATTTGCGTCGAAAATCTAAAATAAAATGGGTTTTATGATAACAAAATTCATTCAAATTAAGATATAATAAATTATAATAACAAAACTCACTGTACGATGCCCATGTACCAGTGCAACCACTTCATTCACTTCAGTTTTTTCTTCGCTTGTATTTTTTAGCCAATTCTGTAATGTGCTTCTAGACACTTCAAATTTTTTTGCCGCCGATGCAATTTTCATATTATCCTTTTTGACGGCTAGCACAGCTCTAGACATCCTATCTTTATCAATGGGATCAGTTTTACGCTTATAATTGCGAACCATGCTGTAATTGACACGAAAATACGGTAAAAATATTATGAATAAAAAATCGAGATTAAGTGGTCTCATACCCACTTAGCTCGATTGGCTTGGTGCTCTCTTAGCTCCGAACGTATATTATAACTTTCGACATAAATAAAATTTAAACAATTCTGAAAATGGAAGAAATAACACCAGGACCGTGTTCAGAACACATTTTTACATAAATTTACTTACCTGAACAATTCAAATTTGAAAAATAACAACCAGGATACATATTTGTCCGAACGTTCGAAAGATTACTTTTGACTATCGAAAACACGTTTGACTATAGGCCTGTTCTTTTTGATTAAACTTTTGCACCAGTTCATCTTTCTTCCTTTTCTCTTTAGGAGGAAAGAAGAGGAAAAAAGACGAACTGTGGTGCAAAAGTTCAGCCAAAAAGAACAGACCTTATCTAAACATAACAACGCACCTAAACTAACCAAACTTCGTTGGTAAAGAAGACACACGAGATGCCATCTACAATATAAATTGGAAACTCATAAGATATATTTTTGCCACTCAAAATTCAAATGCCAGCTTAGCCCCGATGCCCACTTAGCCTCGGTCTCCCCTATATACATATAATTAGAAAAACAACATACAGACCTACACAACTAATACATTTATTAACTTTTTTTTTACAAAATTGGAAATGCAATAAAATATCTAATTAAATTTAGTTTTTGCATGGCATTGAGTGTGTGTGTGTTTCAAAAATCTAAATTTCAATTTCAACATAAAAATCGCATAACTCTACTTTCCACATGCGTCCAAGGATCGATGTCCGCTCTATTGATAAAACATGCACGGTATCCAAGAAACTTAGTTTTGTGAACTGTTCTTTAATACAGAAGAAGCTGCCCAATAATAATTTATAATTGTGTTTTAAATATATTTATTATTAATCTGGAATTGTAGACAAAATAGATATTTAACATTGTGTTAGTAAAATATTTTATAAAATTATATTGTAAGACAATCGATTAGAAATTTCGACAAAGTGATAAACGGTGGATTTAACATGTTTGTAAACATGGATTGGAATGCTTTGGAATCAACTTTTGTAGTGTGTCAATTTCCAAATTCCAGTCAACCAAATCAAATCCTACTAAAAGACTACATAAGAGATATTTATGTCCCCGAATTTTCCACAGAATGGAAAAGAAATATATTAGACTTGATATCTCATGCAGTCAGACGAAAACATTCTGCTTTTATAAACTCGGTACTAGATGAAGTAAAAGATATGTATATCAAAAATATGAAAGAGTTCGTCTTAAAGTCCATACTGTCCTGCAAAATATATAGAAGAGAACACGTTGCTTGCGAGGAGTGCGACGTTCCTGCTGGCTTGAAGCGAAACATTGAGGAAAATAGAATGCATGATCACACAATATTTTTACAACGTCGTAATTTATTTGCTAAGAGATACTTTCTTTCCTATCCAATAATCAGACATATTATAAACACGGCATATCGTATTCTACCCACAGTAATTTGTGACTTCAAACGTTATCATGAATTTGGATTATTATCACTATGTTGTTTTCAAGATATGATCCTTAAAGATATTAAGAGAGGCTCTTTAGTGATCACTAATAAATTTTATACCGAGACATTTAATGCCGTACAGAAATCAAAACTATTAAGAAGCATCTCTGCGGAACGTCTGTCCCAATTTATGCGGTGTCTCACACATGTATTTGTTCAGCAGATTCTCAATGTAATGATGAGATCGATTGATCATATAATAGATACTATGAACGACGGCCATTTCTGTCCTCAAATCGAATTTCAGCTGGTATGCGAAAATGACCAGCTTATAACAAAACCAGATATACAGAAGGTTTTCTCGACATATCACAATATTATCCGAAATATTAAAGGTATTGCGCAAGATCTGATGCCATTGGAAGAATGGTTAAACGTCAAAGCGAAGGAAAGGTACATAAAGATAGCGCTTCCTGACTGGTTTGTCGAGGAGTCTCACCGCAATTTACAGGAGATATTAGACACCCTGTTTAAATCTATGAACGAACATGTAACATTCATTTCCGTGGAATTTAGCGGTATATGCACGTCGAGTGTAAAAAAACAAATATTAACTTTGACTTCTAAACAACCGAATTTCGACTCTTACTTCGAGCACATTTGCAAGTATAATGAGTATCTAAGCAAAACGAACTCTATGATCTCCAATTTGTATTACAATGTGGGAAAGTTGGAGCAAAGCAATGCCAAGAAATCATTGAGGCAGATCTGCTGCAATGTTATAAGCGTCCTCATGACGGAACTCGTGAAGTATCATCAAGATTTCAATCGTTCGATTTGCGCAGACTTTGAGAATCTGAAATCTATGGCGTTGGATATTCCAAGGGACGCAAGTTCTTTGACACAATTGAGTGAACGTATGTCACGAGCTTCGAAAGTACTGATAAAAGAACAGGAACAAAAGATACGAGAATCAATCTATATGTTGAGCAAATTGTTGGAAATTACTATATTAACTGACGAGCACATTGATTTAAATAAGACCACTATCAATTGGCTACACAATATTCAACCTGTGTTTGCACAAAACAATACATTGTGCGAAGCTATGAAGAGCGAGCTGGAAGAGGATCTTCAACGAAGAATAAATGCATTAAATTTAGAGGTTGACGCGATGTTCCCGCAGCTTATCATCCTAGATGATATGGACGACATGAGCAAAGTCGGAGAATACGCGCAGCATTACAAGGATTTGACCAAGAAGTACAAACGCATAGACGATGAGATGCAAGTTATTAATTCGGAGGAAAGGCTTTTCAAGTTTCCTGAAACGGAGTTTCCGAAAATATTCGAATTAAAAGAAACGATCGTGCCATTCCACAAGCTTATATGTACTATTTATCAATGGCGAAGGGACAACTCTGTATGGCTAAATGGTCCATTTGAAAGCCTGGATGCTTCCGTTATTCAAAAGAAGACTATGAATTACTTAGATGAAATCACGGATATGAACAAGACGATGAAGTCGCGCATTAAAATGGACGCGACAGCGAACAAGTCGTACAAATTTTCCGGCATCGCCGATGATCCTGATCCAATGCAGCAACCTGCACCGTTGAAATTGTGTTGGCAGACACTTAATAACATTAATGAGTTTAAAGTTTACGTACCGCTCGCAGTTTGTATGTGCAATCCAGCTTTGAATGCACGTCATTGGAAAGAGATGTCCGCGATATGTAATTTCGATCTTACACCAAACGCAGGAACGACTCTAAAGAAAATGATCGACATGAATCTAATGGATAACATCGATAGGTACAAGGCCATAAGTTTGGGTGCCAACAAGGAGCTTCGTCTTCAGCAGGAATTGGCTGAGATGATTAAGGAGTGGGAGCCGATGTTATTCGAGATGTCGACTGAAGAATCCGATATGGTATCTTTTAAACACGTGAATGATATCGAAACTCTTCTTAGCGACCACCTTATAAAAATTGAGGAAATGAGAGCATCGCATTTCGTGAAGCCAATATTGTCAAACTTAATTAACTTTTACACTGTCCTCATAAGGATCCAAGAAATCCTTGATCAATGGACGCAAGTACAATATCGCAAACTCCATCTAAAGCCAATATTTTCTTATCCAAAAATAGAAATACGTTTAAGCCAAGAAACTTCACTATATTTAGAAGCGACAAGCATTTTATTAGATATTAATAACAGATTTATGAAGAATCCAAATTTTCATGAAATCAAAAAATCATCTGACTTACTTGAAAGCTTAAATGAAGCTAATGAGAAATTGGAGACAGCGAGCAAAAGTGTAAGGAATTATTTAAATATTAAAAGATTGTCGTTCACGAGGTTCTTCTTTCTCGAGGATTCAGAAGTTCAGAAAATATTGTTCGAATCAATTAATACAGAAAAACAGCATACGCTCGTGAAGAAATGTTTTGCTGGTATAGAACGATTGAAATTTAATAAGTCTAATTGTGTTCGAGGCATCATTGGGCATTACGGGGAAATGTTATATCTAAATAATAACATTTTCTTATGCACTGACATTAAGTGCGAAGAACAATGGTTAATTCAGCTTGAAAAAGAGATGAAAGACGCAGTTTACAAAAGTATTCTGCAGTATCATTCTTTGATCAATGAAAATTTGACATTTGTTCCTGTTGATAACTTTCCAAGCATGGCGATCATTTGTAGTTTGCAACTTTATTGGACCTGCTCGGTAGAAAAATGTCTTACACCAATAAATATTAAGATGTTAAACTCTTTACTCACGACATACACCAACGGGATAATTTCGGTAACTAATGAATTAAAAAATAATTTAACGCGAAGACGTAGGAATCTGTTAATGTCATTGATCATTGTCATGTTAACTCATAAAGAAATTGTAAAATTGCTACTAGAGAGAAATATTATTGAACAGACAGACTTTGAATGGGTCGCGCAATTGAGATATTATTGTAACAATAAATTTGTCGAAGTATCAGTATTCAATACAACAATTAAATACGGATACGAATACAACTATTGTCAGCAGAATATTGTTAACACTCCCTTGACTGATAGATGCTTTCGCACTATATTGCAAGCTTATCGTTATCATTTGTATAGCAGTATTATAGGTCCAACAGGTACCGGGAAAACGGAAACAATCAAAAGCTTGACAACAGCTATCGCGAACCCATATTACATCATCAATTGCAACAATAGCATCTCTTATAATTGTGTGATACGGACATTTAAAGGAGTGATCTCTTGCGGAGCGTGGATTTGCTTTGAGAACTTTAACAGATTGAAACTAGAATTGCTGTCGTCTATTGCCCAAAATCTTACACAGATGAAGCAAGCGATTTCGTCTAATTTGAAGATCGTAAGCTTCGAAGGTTGCAGTTTGAACTTAAATGTCTCCGGAAATATATGCGTTAATATCAATTCGGACCAATCGGGATATGCTGATTTGCCAGATAATTTGAAGATTCTCTTTCGTTCCGTATCAATGATGTCACCGAATATTGGCAAAATTGCTGAAATTAAACTCTTCGCTGGAGGATTTAATCACGCAAAAAATCTAGCGATGAAGCTAGCTGTCAGTTATAAATTATTATCCGAACATCTAGGAGAGAAGCGCCATTATGATTTTAGTATGTCATCATTGAAGACTGTCGTCGCGACTGCAATTAATATGAAACGAAATATCCCAGACGAAAATGAATATATCCTCTTATTGCGTTCGATGATACACATAAATATTCCTCAGTTATGTAACACCGACATATCAATCTTCCAGAATATCATGCAAGACATTTTTCCTGAATCCGTCGTGCTTCCTTTCGATTGCTCGGCGATTCTAAACGCTTTGGAAATCGTATGCACAAAGAGACTTCTAACTTTGCATACAGTCTTCAAATTGAAAGCCATACAGCTCATTGAACTGATGAACGTTCATCGCGGTCTTATACTTATTAGTAACTCCTTGGGTGGGAAAACGGAAATTTTGCACACGCTTGCTGAAACATTATCGTTATTATATGATCAAAAAAATAAAATTGGCGCCACAGTGAAACTTGAAACAGTTATACCAGGAGTGGTGGACAGCAACGCTCTCTTTGGATATTTTTGCGATAAATCTGGAGTTTGGAAGGATGGTTTGTGTACCACTATATTTCGTCGCTTTATAGAAGATACCTCAACAGACCGCAAATGGTTAGTGTTTGATGGAGATTTAAGCGGCACGTGGATAGAAAACTTGCATACAATTCTGGATGAGAATAAAATATTGTATTTGACATCTGGAGAACGATTTTCTACAACGAACTCAATGTCCATCATCTTTGAAACGATGAGCACGATGGAAATTTCACCCAGTATAATATCACGGTGTGGAATAATCTATATTGACGTACATTCTATTGGTTGGAGACCGTACATGCTGTCTCACATCGCCAAACCATTTTACGATGGATATAATGAAATACTACGTGCTTTATTCGATTGGGCAATAGATCCATGTCTTAATTATTTAAAGGAAAATGGCGATATGTTGATAAATCAAGAATTGCATCTTGTTATGTCGGCCGTAAATTTATTTGAAATATTATTAAGAGATGCCTGTGAAGATACTGAAGACAAGGATAATCACTTTGTCATATGGGCACAAGCTGCTTTAATCTTAGCTATTGTTTGGGGACTGGGTGGAAACTTGATCGAGGATTCGCAAACTCGATTCAACGCTTTTTGTGTGTCATTTTGGAACGGTACAGACAAAGAACATCCGAAACCTGATATAATTAAACATTTTGACGTAACACTGCCTAATGAGGGTTTAATTCAAGACAACTTCTACATCTTTAAAGGTACCGGAAACTGGAAGTACTGGGGCGATTTGCTAAAAACTGAAAAAATCCCAGAGATATGTAACTTCAATCAAATTTACATTCCAAATATCAATAGTATGAAATATAATCACATATTTTTGAAACATATTAAATATCGAAAGCATTTTCTCTTGTATGGCGATGCTGCTATTGGGAAGACAAGTATCATGTATGATCTCCTGAGAAACAAGTTGCCAGAAAATTGTCTCTCCAATTTCTTTAGTTTTACTTCCATGATTACGGTAACTAAAACGGAAAGATTATTATTTTCCAAGTTAAACAAGATACGACGCACTACCTACGGACCAGGAAGAAATCAATTTTGTGTAAACTTCGTGGACGATATGAATAGAATCATCATACAAAAACCAGAGGCACAATCCATATTTGATCTCTTACGACAACTTCTCAGTTATAATTACTGTTACGACACACACGAATTAAATAAGATATTCGTACAGGACATTATGTTTACACTTGCAATTACTGCAAGAAAGATCAACGGAAGCATACCTTCTAGATTTTTAAGACACTTCAACACCTATGCGATTTCCGCTCCTACAACGGATAATATATTCAGAACATATTTTAACATACTACTTGCTAATTTAAAAAAGAATCTATTCGCGACAGACGTCACAGGAAGCGTAACCAGCATAGTGAACTCGACGATTGATGTTTACAAGTCCATAATAAAGACGTTGCGGCCTGTGCCCAGCAAACTGTACTACTATTTTGATATGAGGGATATATCTAGAGTGATCAGTGGATGCGGTCTAATTCAGAAAGAATCAGTGGAGACAAAGATAACGTTCATTCGGTTGTGGGTGCACGAGATCTTACGCGTGTTCAGCGATCGCATGCTAGATGAAGGCGACAAGGAATGGCTTTTTCTAAAAATTCGCGATGCAGTAAAGAGCAACTTTAAAGATTCTTTTGAAATCGCCTTTGATCACTTACCCAAATTTGAGAATCAAATCACCAAAGACAGCTTCAACGATCTGATGTTTGGGAATTTCATGGATATAGAGAAGAACGGTAAATGTAGGCGGTACGAGGAAATCACTTCTATGGAAGCTCTAAGAAATAAAGTTCTCTCTTACTTGGACGAATATAACGCTAGGTTTAAAAAAAAAATTGACGTCGTCGTATGTTGTTACATGTTGGAATCTTTGATCAAAGTTTCCAGAATTCTGAACACTCCAGGCGGAAGTGTGCTAATGATATCTACTGTGGGTTCCGGCAGAAAATCCACGATCGCCCTTGCTGCCTTTATGCAGCAGCAGACTTTGTTTGAAACCACTATAGAGTCCTATTACGACATGGACGCATGGAAGAACGAACTGAGAAGAATTCTGCGGGAATGCGGCACGTTACGAAAGGATGTTACATACTTTATGAGCGAAAAACAAATAAAGAACGCGTTTTTAAGCGATATCAGTTGTCTGTTAAGTACTGGGGAGCTACCTGACTTGTTCTCTATCGAAGACAGGCAGAATATAATCGAAATGACGCGACTGCACGCCCAGGGTGGTGATCGAAACGTGGAGCTCAGCGCGCGTTCGGTGATGAGCTATTTCGTAAATCAATGCAAAAACAGATTACATTTCGTACTCTGCTTCAGTCCTACTAGCGCTACGTTTAGAACATATTTGTGCTCACATCCTAACTTAGCGAAACACTGCACAGTGAACTGCTGTCAGGTTTGGCCGAACGATGCGCTCTTAGAGATCGCAGTGAAGTATATGAGGGACGTTAACGTACGGGAAGAAGTTAAAGCTGATGCAGCAAGAATTTGCGTGCAATTTCACAATAGTGCAAAGGAAATGAGTTTGAAATATCACGAAATGTTCGGTAGGACCATTCACGTGACGTCATCAGCCTTTCTGCACATGCTCAAGCTGTATAAGCAACTGACATCGAAGAAGCAGGAAAAAATCATCGCGACGCGGAATAGATACATAGCAGGATTGGAGAAGTTAGAATTGGCGGCTGAGCAAGTCGAACAGATGAAGGCTATTCTGACGATCTTGAAACCCCAATTGGAACTGTCCGCTCAACAGACCGTGATCACTATGAAAGAAGTGGAGAATGAAAATATTACCGTAGAACGAGCTACGACTCTTGTGAAGCAAGAAGAGGAAATCGCGAATAAGAAGGCAGAGATCGCGGGTACCCTAAAAACCGAATGCGAGGCTGATCTCGCTGTTGCAATACCGATTCTAGAGGACGCGGTAATAGCGCTGAACACATTGAAGCCGACTGATATCACTTTGGTAAAAGCAATGAAAAATCCTCCTGACACCATCAAGTTGGTAATGGCTGCTGTTTGCGTGATGCTGGGCGTCCCTCCGGATCGTAGCATCGACCCAGTTACAGGAAAGAAATTCACAGACTTCTGGAGTCCGAGCAAGCGCATTTTAGGCGACATGAACTTCCTGCAGAACTTGAAGGACTACGACAAGGATAATATAGCGCCCACAGTGATGCAAATTATTAAGAAGACATACATGACGGACAACAGCTTCATGCCTCACATAGTCGCGAAAGCG